CTTGGCAAAATCTGGCCAGAACTAAACTCTCCAAACCCTTCTACCAACTAGGCAAGTGATTCTCTATACTATAGAGAACCTATCTCTCCATACACCCTCTTGATTTTAGAGTGTACAGGAATGAAGAAAAAGAAGGAAGAGGAACTAAACCTGCTCTGATACCAAGATGTAAATCAGTCCTCTAATATCAATGTTTAAATTCAGTGATTAGCAGAATAAAACAGGTATGAATAACTGTATAAAAGAAGAAAATGGCGAAGAGAAGAGGTAAGAGAAGGAGTCGAATCAATTCTCCATTCTCCTCTAACCCTATTTTATTAAGATCTAAAAATTAATGATGACAAGTATGCCCTTAAGTGGGCGGCCAGCTTGGCAGTTACATAAAGGAAATAAACAAGAATAAATAACAGGCCCATTAAGTGTGGCCCATCAACATAAAATAAAAGATATTACAAGAGAGGCTGTTAGGGCCCATTCGGCCCAGTCTCTTTACATTTCCATAGCTGTCAAGGCGACACCTAGGCGACAAGGCACCCTTTGAGGCTCGCCTTGCCTAATCGTCAAGCAGTTTTCTACTTTCTATTATAAAATATTTTTTTATTCTTTATTTTTTGAGATTATAATTATAAAATAGACATTATTAAACTAAAATATTTATTTTGTGTGTTTATATACTAATTTCATTTTATTAATTTCTTATTTGTTAGGGTTTAATCAACATAAACATTGCTAAATGTTGTATTTAACCCTCAAAGACTTCAAAGCCTGAACCAATAAGTAAGGAAGCACTTAAAATTTTGTCTATTACTACTACTACTACTACTATTTTTTCTTTTCTTTTCCTATAACAAAAATAAGGGTTCAGCCCCTATATTTTTTAAATTTACTTTTTCTTATTCTTTTTCTTCTCATGAATATGTTGATTTTTTTTTATCAGTGAATATGTTGATTTTCTATACTTAACATGAACTTTATACTTTTCTTATGAAAATCATGAACAATTATCAAGGAAATATGGTTATGGTACCTAGGGAACTACCCTAGGATCTATGTTTTTTACATAAAAAAAAATCCATCGCCAAGGCGATGCCTAGGCAACTAGGCGACACGGCGCCCCCCTGTCGCCTAACCTCGCCTTGGTGCCTTGAAAACTATGTTTCTTTCCAAACTTCCCAACATACAACAAACAAAACACAACTCCAAATGATTTTCGTTTTGATGCTTCCATTTATCCTCGACCAATGCCCAAAAATTTCCATGCAGACACTAGGACCCCATCCATCCATGTTGAACGGCTTGAAAAAATAGGCCCTAATACTCCTAACGTAACTGTAGCGTATTAGAAGGTGAAGAATAGACTCCTCTTTCAACAAACAAAGAGGGCATCTACTCGGAAACCGATGGTCTTCTTTTTCAAATTGTCTTGAGTCGGGATCAATGATTTAAAAGGCGCGTTTCAGGTGCACCTAGTCGCACAAGCAAAGCACATTTTAGGGTATGCGCCTCGCTCAAGTCCTAAGCGCACGCCTGGTGCACCTTGCACCTCAGCCCAGGCGTGTGCCTTTTTAAAATTCTGCACTTTTTGCTTTTCTTTTTAGTCTAACAGCTGGGCTGGGGGCTCCGCCCCCAGACCCCCAACCACCCCCTATGTGCTAATGTTGTTCATTCATTCATTCCAATAAAATATCTTCTTAAAAGGAAATTAAAGTTATAAAATCATTATTTTTTATGTGAGAAATAAGAATTTAAGACCCTAACATGGACTTGTCTGGGCTTGCCTCGAGGGGTGTGGTACAAAGGTGACTCATAGAATCAAGAATGTAATATGTTTTACATCACATTAGCTACTTAAAGTAATGCAATTGAGGTAAAAAAGAGATTGTGGATTTTACATGCTTGAAAATTCTTTATATGTTTTCTTTTATTTTTAACTTTTCATTTGAATAAGCTTTACATGTTATGTTTATGTATTTTAATCTTAGATAATAGGTTTTTTCAAACATTTATTTTAAAATTTAAGTTTATATTTTTTATTAACATTATGTTTAATATTTTTTTTGAATTTTTTGCCTTTTTTTTTAATTCTTGGCATTTTCTGAATTTTCTGACACTTTTTAGCTTTTTTTTTGTATTTTTGCGCCTTGCTTCAAAAAGGTGCATGCCTTGCCTTGCGCCTTGTGCCTCAAGCGCAAATTGGCCCTTGCGCTTTTTTTGCGCCTTGCACTTTTAAAACACTGGTCGGGATACTTCCCATTGAAATGAGCCAAACAAAAGCCTCCACCCTTGAGGGAACTAGTTTCCCCCCATACTCCTTTAAGATACAATTGCAAAAGCTATATAAGTCATCTCTATCAAGTTAAAGAGCACTATTTTGAAACATGTACATATTCAGGTAAACACATTTGGAATGCATTAAATACTCAAAAGTTGGTTAACATAATGATGTGGCAGATAAATTTCTCCATGCCAATACATCTATTGTGAATAGTATCATCAATTTCTTATTCAAAGGCACAAACATGTTTATATCTCAGTCTCATTTGGGGATGTGCCCTTCTGTGTAACCAAGGCAAGCACATAATTAAAGATAAGAACAATGATCAGTTACAGACTGCAGTCAAAAGGCTTCATAAAAGACATAGATATTGATATTATGGCTTTACTTAAACAGTTGCCTTTACATGTGCATTTGAACCACAGAAATGAGACTTTAATATTAGATAAACCAATAGAATCCAACTTCAAATATGATTTCCAAATGGAGAAACTTTGAAGACACTTCAAATGGTAAAACAAAGGGGAAATAATTCTACCTTTGCAATATCAACACATTGACAATCCATAGCCGCAATGGCCACCTGCTCATAGAGTGTCCACTCTACATCAAGTAATGGAAAAACGTTAACCACATATTTTGTGAAATAATAGGAAAGTTCCGCACTATATATGTGATAAAAGGCATCCAGATTGGCTGGAGGCAAAAGCATGCACACCAGGCTGGGCAACCTATCACAAGTGAACACACCGGTGTTCCATGCACATAAGGTGTAGGTCCCACATGGGCCCTATGTGTGCAGAACATTTGCATGTTCACTCATAATAGGTTGCCCAGTCCAGTATGCATGATTTTGTCTCCAGCCCATCCAGTCCCAGATAAAAATTACCTAGAAAAATTACAAAACAACTGTAAAATCAATTTAAGAAAACCAACAAAATTAAATCAACAGAAACTACTCAAAGGAGCATTATAATAACAATTTTAGAAAACCTCTGTAGCTGTTTTTAGATTTTGAGAATATATTTAGACATCACAATGGAGATGTACAACTTATTTTTCACTCTTTCAGCACACAGCCTTGATGTACATGGGCTCTATGTGTATGATAATTCTTTTCCATAATGTAACATGATTAAATTATTGTCTTTTTTGAAAAAAAAAAAAGGAAAAAAGTGCCACGGTCCTATTTTGGCCACATCATGTACTGTGCTATCCATTCCTCCACTTATTTCTAAAGTGAGTGCTGGTCTTCACCATTCCTTTCCATTAAAATACTCTTCATATTCTCCAATCAACAAACAGAAAAAAAGGAAAATAGAAATCCAAATGCAAGAATAAAGAAAGGTAACCAAAACAAGGCACCAGAAGATTCCTACTAAAATAAATCCTTCGACCAAAATTTCCTACTTCCGCCTCTGGTAAGAGATCTACCTGTCCCATTGGTTTAATGAGAAAAACAAGATAACAAGATGTTAAATAAGGATGGCACAAAAGAAAATTCTCTAATGGTTTGAGTTGCTAAGAGACAAAACCTAAGAAGCAACCAAGCCAATAGCAGTGGTTGAGTTCCTTTCAACAAGAACGGATGAAACCTAAGTAGCAACCTAGAAGATTTACGCCCCTCCAGCAAAGCATATGTTTCATCCATAATAAAATCGTTCCAACCAAGTAGTCCTGAGATTCTGTAAAAGGACTTTATCCTTATCATCCCTCCTAACACCTAATTGTCAAAATGACCATTGAATGGGATGGTCAGCATATTCTACATACTAAATCTTTTTTCATCATTAATAAAAAAGACATTATAGTTTAGAAGATTGTGATGAGGGTGATGAAGGTTTAGAAGAAGATTATGATCAAGGCGAGGATGTGGTGTTGGATGAAACTCTTTTTTTTCTTTTGAAGCGTATTCATTTGGAGTCAAAGAAGGTCAAAGAGAACCAGAGAGCTTTTGAAAATAAAAAATTGAAAATGAAGCAAGAAAGAATGATGTTAGAGAGGAGTCTTTGGAAAATGATATCAAAGATGACAGGTAAGTCTGAAAAGACAGATGAGGCTGAAGTTGTCAAGGGTCCAGCAGAGAATTCAGAGAAGTTTACAAATTTCTTTAGACATTTTAAGAGTCAAAAAAGGTCAAAGTGCAATTCAAGTTTTGAAGGTTTTTGTTAGGCTGAAAGAGGGTCTATTTGGGGTTGGTCCTAGTAATAAGGTGAAGAAGCTGAGAAGGGTCAAAGAGCTCTTCAATAAAGTCAATGAAGAGGCAGAATTAGAGATCAAAGGTTCAAGAGGCGAATAGTGGAGTGATTTCATAAGAAGCAGGATTGGGTTGTTTGTTGTGAAAGTAAGGGATGTTGTTTCTTTGGGTTCTAGTTTACTGATTGTTGTTAAAGGTTGGGTAGAGATGTTTTGTTTGGTTACGGTTTGGTGTACTTTTATTAGGGTGGTGGTGTTTGTTTTTTGGGGTGAGAGTTTTGTTTATTTGTTCATGCGGGAGTGTTTTTTGGAGTAGTGATTGTAGAGTTGTTTTCTCTCAGGTGATTCCTTATCATCAAAATAAAAAAAAAAAAATGCAAGGTCATAATATCCAGCAAGAACACCAATTCAAGAAACCAAGGAAGTAGTGTGAAGAAATCTTATAGGCAAGGAACAAGACTATCATAATCAGATTTACAGATAACATGCACAAGGCATGAAGGCAATATGCATTTATTTTCTCTCCCTTCAGAAGCAAGCATAGCAGATCTGCTAACTTTCTTCTAAACCCTATTCAGACAAAAAGTTCGTGTCCTGGAAGAAATATGGATCCCTCACATGTGTTTATCCAGCAACTTCATCGAAGGAGAATCACTATCTACCAGAATTATATAAAAGATACATGATAGATATATTAGAGTTCAATGACAAAATTATTTGACATTGCCCTTAGAGGGCAAGCACAAGACATGCTTAAGGGATTCAAGAAAAGCAGCCACGTACTCAAGCTAAACATTTCTAATATTGCTTGAAGAGCTAGAGTTCTAGGAAACGAAAGGACCGTGGAGTTAAAATAGCTAGCTGACATAAAAGTATGACCAGAACCAAATATTTTGTAAAGCCATGGACAATTGATAAAAGTAATGATGTAGGAATAAACATTTCTAATATTTCCTAAAGGTTCCTCAAACCAAGCTCCTATATAACAAGCAAAGCTTCATGTCCCCAGGGAACAAAAAAACGTAAAAGAAAATCACTCTAAATTTAGAAAGACATAAGTGGGAGTAAACTAATCTAGAAAAACAAAGGAGGAGAAGAATTGCGTACTCAACTGCAAAATTAACAGTTTTAATTCGTCAGAGTGTTCTTCAGTAACAAGATCAAATTCAATTTACAATCTCTAAAATACTCGAGGGAATACTATTTTTATTAATAATCAGTCGCCCCCACAGATAATAATAAAAAAACGAATTTGAGGAAGGAAAACGGACTTACCCTCTCCACCGAGTTTGGATCGCTGCTTTGGATCGTTCAAAATCGATAACCCGTGCTTCAAAACCTTTTCTGAACGGCGTACTTTGAGCTTCCTAACGAGACAGAGATACTCCCAAGCGCCGCCTCCGCCATTATCGACCTGATTTTCAAGCCTGTTCAATTGGGCTTCCTCTACTGCCCCCACCATGTTTGCAGAATTACAGAAGCGCCGCTTCTTTCAACGCTGCAGTAAGCAAAAGTAGAGAAAAGGGGGGTAGAAACTCGCCCTCACTCTCTTGATTCGTTCTCTCTCTGTGTTAGCGGTTAGCCGGCTTTGGATTGATTGGATCTAGGTGGAGAGCAGGGATCTGATCTGACGACTTGGCGAGGAGCACTTGTTTAACGAAAAGACCAAAGAAGAAAGTTTTATTAGGCTTTCCGAGAGAGTAGAGGCAGACACCAGACCGGCACTCAGGCAGTGCACAAGAAACCTGGCCTAACATATGAGCTACGGCCCACTCATCTCCATGAGGAATGTGGGCCGTTGAAGAGTCCAGAGTCCAGATATTTTAGATTGAACCGGACCGGCCCAATAGAGGTTTGTTTTCGAGGGCTACACAGAAAAGGGGTAAGCCCACCCCTCCCGAAAAAAACCAGGTGCAGGCAAGATTCGATGAATTGGGCTTCAGTCAGGGCAAAGCCCGTTCGAGCAGCCTTTTACTGCCTTGCATTGATAATATTTCTGTTTTATTTCATGGGAAGGCTGTTAGAACGGTGTGGACACAGGTTTGCCTTGAAAGAAGCCGACACCATTCCAACAAGGGAATTTTAGAGAACGAACTAAATGGAATAGAAGGAAAGAAACCCAAAAAGGGTGTCCTAAAGATACAGACAAACCATGCTCCCAGTAGCAAGTCCGGATCTGCTGATCACAACACATTGCTGGCCACGTTCACCCAGTCACATATATGAAACATCAGTTGTGTGGTGGTCACCGGTATTCTCAACGTGTGGCTGGATGAGGGTAGCTAGCAGTGTGTTGTGGTCAGCAGATCCGAACTCCCCAGTAACAAGTTCGAGAGTCATAGTCGAAGCATTGAAATTCAGATACCAGACCATTTAATTTACGAGGCAATTTTAAAGGATTTTTCAACCCAACGACGGAGGTAGATCAAAGATTTATCTTTTGTAGGTTCTGTTTTGTTTTTTTGTTAGTGTTGTTCTGGTTTCCAGCCTTGTGCTATTTGTCTAATGAAATGCCATTTTACCAAAAAAAAAAATTTAAAGCATAGATATTACAAAGGCCTCATTCGCTTGTAGGTAAATATGCATGGGAAAGTTGGTTAATAGGGAACTTTTTTTATTGACCAACTTCTCCATATTCTTTTTACATTAAGCAATGGGTCCCACGGTAAAGTTACCCATACTCCCTTGGGTAAAACTTATCCATCTCCTAGGTGGGTAAGTAACTTACCTACCTGGGAGAAATTTTAACAAAACATGATGGGACCATTTTATCCATTTTAATAGTTACTTTTTGTGGGTAAAAATGTCATTTTATTATTTACCTAAGAAAGTAGAAATCAAAAGAACATGGGTAAGTGCATTTACCTAGGTAAATGTTAATACACTTACCTAGATAAGTTGCACTATTACAAATGAGCAAGGCCAAAAAGTATTGAAAAGATGATTTTATGTATATATGGGAGATCGGGTACTTGACCTACCCAACCCGATGGGGTCGAGGATGGGGATTGTTTTGACGGGGTGGGGATGGGGATGGGAATATAAAAATAATCTCGACTAGGGTTGGGGATGGGTAATAAAGTTCCCGCCCTGTCCCGACCCTGATTATATTATTTGTATTAAATATATATTACTATATATATATGATTTTATTTATATTATATATATATATATCAAAATATGTTTAAAATATTATTTATATTTTAAAATTTTCTTTTATTTTGAGTAAATTTATTTTTTTTAAAAATCTATTAATAAAAAATTTTGGGGATTTCTTGGTCAGGCATGGAGGACAATTTTTATCCCCAACAAGGATCAGGGTTGGGGACGGAGAATATAATCCCTACCCCGTTGCCATCAAATTAAGAATGAAATGATTAAATGTTTTATAAATACATGAAATTAAGAATAACTTATAAACTCAAGAAAATGTGTTTTAGTAATTCATTTAAAGTTTGAACTATCGACAACATATACTAAAAAATTGGAAATGGTGAAAAACATTAAATGCATGGACACATTTAGGAAATCAATATAAATCTCATTTTTACTTTAAAAATCTCATTTTTATAATCAATTGACATATTCTCTTTAATTGTTTGTTATTTATTCTGATTTTCTAGTTGATGTTGCAATGAATTTAGAAATGTATCTACGAATACAGGAAAATCTATGATAAGGAAAAGATATGGTATAGGAAGAGTATTGACCAACCAAACCCCACTCATGAATTTTTATAAATAGCACCTGATTGGTTATCGTTTATGATTCCAGTTTACTGGTTAAAAAATTTTCAGATATCATATCTTTTCTATATCATAGTCGAACCCCTACGAATACACATCGATCTAATTGACCGATATGGATCAACACAATACAATATGTACAGCCATGAATAGAACTACAAAGAAAACTTACATCTAGGGCTGCAAGTCGGGGCCGGGTTAGGTCGGATTGAGGCCAATTCTAGCTCAACCCTAAGTTTTAAACCCCCAACCCTAACCCAACTCGAAGTCAACTTTGGGTTGGGCTGGACTTGGGTTAGGCCCAATCCAACCTTCTTCCCATCCCCTAAAATTTCCTAAAACTTCTTAATCTCAGATCTTAACTCAACTTTCACTACATATATTAATCCTATATTTTATTAATATTTGTTTATTGATGTTTTTATTGGTTCTTTAAATACAAAATTCAGAAAAAAAAGTAATGACTACATTTTATTATGAGTTATGACTTATAATAGATCTTTTATGGACAGCAAGCTTTGGGTGGCAAACAATCCTACTTTCTTAGGTTGGGTTAGGATTGGATTTGGGCCAACCCAGCCCAAGTTGCAACCTTACTTACATCCTTGACTAAAACCGAGTTACTGAACCAACTTGGCCATCAAATTATCTATACTTTGGATATGCAAAAATTCATAGTCCTATACCATATAAAGTCGATACTTGCTTGATTTCATTACTGGTCATACATGTATGATTAATACTTGAACATGTGCTAGCGAGTGCTCTCACACTAGTTTTGATATTTCAAACCTTGTTTGAAGGCTGAAAGTACGCTATACTCTCTGACCAATCTTCCCCAAGGATTCTCAAGTAACTCTCTCAACAGCCATATTCTCAACGTACAGCATCACAGCTAAACGTAAAAACCTCTATGTTCACCTTGGTTTTTAAAATCGGACCAGAAAAACTGGGAACCGGTCTTTCATTTTACCCCAAAACCGTTATTTCGCCAAAACCATTGATTGATTTAATCAGCAAACCACTGATTCAGGCATTTGAACCGTCCAACAGTTTCTGCCTTTTTATTTTTTTCTATTCGATTAAAATGGTCAGACCATTCGACTAATCGACCCGGGAATCGGACCCCCAACTGATTCGTTGTCTGATTCAGTTTTAAAAACCTTGATGTTCACGCTGAGGAATATCTGTTAACTGTTACCATTCCACACACGATCCCTTGTGCATCATATTCCACTCGAACAACAGCAAGTGATGACCAATGAAGAGATGGCTATTTTCCTTGATGCCCACTTTCGCCAGCCTATTGGAGGATAGCCTGCAGCTGCAGAACTGGAGGTAAAGAAATTTTTGTTGTGATGATGGGGGAAAATCCTTCACGAATCAGATAGCATCTCAATTCCCCGGCCAATTCACCCTGCTGTGGGTCTCACGATGAGCCCTATGGGGACCATCGAGAACTGACAAAATATTGTACGCTTATACCATCGCCAATCGATCAAAAGTTGAGTGGTGTTCCCAATATACGGAGGTGATACTCTGGGGGTATAAATGCAGGAACAACTTGTTGGTAGCAGATCCATAGTGCTCTCAACGCTATTGGGTTGTCAATACATCTGGTTGCATTTACATAGCGACATAATTGAGAAAAGTGGGATTACCAAGGAGAGAATAAATAAATTCCATGCATTACCACACATACTGAATTCCAAGTTTCCCACCGTCTTTAATTTTTGGTGTGCCAACTGCCATCAATGCTGTATCTCTTGAAATTTTGACATAGGATAGATCCAGAATTCAGACCCAAAATTCCATCGACCCTGTCAAGTACGCTTGTTAAGAAACAAACCTGACAAGAAACTTCCTACCATCCAAGTTGTTCTACTTATCTCTCAACCATTCATTATACTTCTATATGCAAAAGAATCAAATACATTATATTTAATGGGGTAAACCAAATCATATTTGATATATTGAATGGGAGATTTCCTTGGTGCAACAATACTCATGCAAAACATTAGGTGTATATGCTAGGCTGCTAGCAGTCTATAATCACATGCTACCCTGGCTCCTCGCCCAAGAATCTGTCTTACATAGTTGTCTAGATCTGCTAGATACAAGATGAGTAACACAGGCGACGAGGCAAAGACACCCAAACAAGTCAGCAATCAATTTACCAGTTATATCAGGCTTATCAGCATTGACTTTTTTTCCTTTTGTTTCAGTGTACTAGTCCTTGTTACACAGCTTGTTTCTAGCAGATTTAGAGTCATCTTATACGATTACATCCAAAAAGGTATCCCTATACAAAAACATGCAAATGGCAGATGTCATTGTATAGCAGTTCAAGGTCAGTATTTGAACAAGCAGGGAGTCTACCTATCATAAAAGGAAGAGTACTTGAGCTCGGTTGAACAAGTGAACTACATGTTAGGCATTAATTGAAAAGAAACATTATTCTCCTCTATTCCCAATAAATTCCAACTTACAACACAATTCCTTTGAAGAAGATAAGCTCTAAATACAGGTCTTATTTCATGCTTCGTTTGTTCTTCATGTATCCCACATTGACTTTTTCAAGAAAAAACACCATCTACAAATTCCAGACGTACTACGGCGACATGGACAGTGACAATTCATTGGTTCAGTGTTTTGTGAAAGGCAACCTGCATATGAATGGAAACATGAATGTAACTCCAGGCATACAATAAAGAATTGATGCAGTGAACATTAAGTGAATAACTGAATACCCCAACCCATGATTAAAGATAACTTTGGGCCATTCCAAAAACAGGATTCTGCTTTCCACAGGTCATACAGAAAATAGAAAGAGGTTATCTCAAATATTTTTTGGGAAAAATTCCCAATTAGTACCCTGAACTTTAAAATGCGACAATTCAGTACCCAAACTTTTAAAACGTAACAATCCAGTACCTGCCGTTAACTAGCTGTTAACCAGCCATTAAGTGGCATTTGAAAAAGACACAAATGCCCTTCAAGTGTTATTTAATTTTCTTTATCAACCATCTAAACATTGACAAAAAATTAAGTCCCAAACCCTTGCCTTTTCCATTCAAGAAAGTTGGGTTCACATTTGAGTGGGCATTCTGGTGACCCCAACTTTCTTGAATAGAAGAGGCTAGGATTTGAGACTTAATTTTTTGTCAATGTTTGGATGGTTGATAAAGAAAATTAGATGACACTCAAAGGGCATTTGTGTCTTTTTCAAATGCCGCTTAACAGCTGGTTAGCAGCAGGTACTGGATTGTCATGTTTTGAAAGTTCGGGTACCGAATTGTCGCATTTTAAAGTTTGGGGACCAAAGTGGTACAAGGCCCAAAGCACAGGGTACTAATCGGGAATTTTCCCTATTTTTTTAAATCAATATACACTCTCTTTCTCCAACCATTGTAGAAACAGGATTGCTAAAACAAACAGTGGATATTAGGAAATCAGTCAGACACTCAAAAAAGAATCCAGATCTGCTATACTTTCTTCCTAGACTTGCTAATTGCTATATTACAAGTCATTGCTGACAATTGCTACATTACACATCTGTAACGTGTACATGTGAGAATAAAGAGTTTTACACTAGTCACATTAATGTTGAAGCTTAGCAGATCTAGACTCCATGAAACATGCACACGGGTGTGCACAAATTGCACATTCTAGTGTTTTACTCGATAAGGATGCAACCATAAAGTCCCTTTGAAAAGATGCATCCCAAGCATGGTTATATGTGAAAAGAGAGATCCATTATGCAATGCTTCCAAACCCAAATGAAAACAGGACATCTGCAGAAGTTTCAGCAGTAGTACATACAGAAGTTGATGTTTTCAGCAGCTCCCTAATGGCCATCGTAGCATAGCAAGAAGCTGGAAGAGTAAAGCCTAACTTTAGGGCCATCTGGGGTTTCTGAGCATCACAAATATGAAGAGAGTCACCTTCTGACAATCCCATCTCTTTACCATTTTCAGCTTCGCTGTTGCATGTTTGTATTTTTTCATCTTTTGAATTCATTGATTGCTTCTCATAGTCAACAGAGCAAATCTTGAGCTGACTTGAATCAGTGAAGCCTTCCTCCTTGACATTATGAGCAGGTTTCTTTTTAGCAATAGCATCCAAATCTGTCTCCGCCAGGGGTACATTACCATCAGTATACTGGAGCAATTCCCTGAAATTTACATAGAGATCCAGATCTCATCACCATTAAAGATACTAGATTCCTAGGATACGGGATTGGTTGAAAAAAGGCGTGTGTACCATTCAAAGTCAATTGGCTTCTGGAACACCTGCCTATAGCCTCCAGTCATACTGGTTATCGAGAATTCCCTAAACAGGTGTTCATTTATATGAAAACATGTCATTTGACAAGATTGAAAAATTTGCAAGATTTGGTAAACTTAAAAGCCAGAGTTACATACTTGACATTGTGTACACACTCAGCCAAGTTGATGCTATCCTGAGACATTCAACAAAAGGAAGGTGCCAGTAAAGTTAAGAAAATTGAAAACCCATAAAATCATAAAACAACTAGTTCCATGTTCAATTAACACCATCTACTACCACCAACAATTTATCCACACTCAGTTCAGTTTTTCACTGATAATTTAAAAAAAAACACGGGAGATGAATTATCCACTCCCTTGCAGCTAAAGCCTTTTGATCTTCATTCTTTTCCCCTTTCTTTCAATGTTAATAACTGACAAATAACAGAAAGGTAGTCCATCTTTTTTCTTGGTCTCGTCAAACATCTTGAAACTTAACCAATAATTAATATCAAAATCTCTATTCCCAGTGCATAACCACTCAGACTTGTCTAAACTTCCAAGACATGTAAGAGATCATTTCTTTCTTTTGCTTACCTACTATAAACAAAATAGAAGTTTCAATAATTGTATACATTTATTTTCTCATTGCTACTAAAGTAGAATTACCAAGGCCACATCACAGCCCACTCTATTGCTGTATGACCCCCAATCCAATTAAGGAAATAATAAAGAGAGAAAGAACTATCATGCAAAACACACCATTAGGGGGGTGACGGTAGGAGAGATGCACTGCAGTGCAGAATTCAGTAATAAAAGAAGAAAGCAATCAACACACCTTCTTTGCTAAATCATGGTAAACTTGAGCAATATCGTTGGTTGGATACAGTACTCTTGAACTGCCAGAAGGATTGTTTTGCAAGAGTGGGGATAAATTAAGCATAGTCCTCAAAATGACATCAGAAAAGACTATGAACCAGGTATGTCTAGATTGCTCTTACCCAGGCAAAGGAAGTGTGACATCAGCAATTGTATAACCTCCACTTTGGAGGTCCTCTGCATTTACAGCCTGCCACAAGATAGAAAGCCATCTGAGAATTCCCAAATCAAGTGCACATGTAGTTTCAATTCCTACCACATGAACTTTTTGCTTGGGCATGGTCCCACCAAAACAATGACTAAACAGTGTAATCAAACAATCTAGAAGACTAAAAGACATTTTAGCCTATCAAAGTCAGCTGCAACCTAGGCCATAATTAAGCAAGCATGTGTTAAAGAAGACATTTGTTAAATTCAAAAAAGAATATTTAAGGGTACAACAGAATTATAGTTATAGAGGTTTCTAACTAGTGATAATTTAAATATAAAATTGGAAATAAGAAATACTTGGAGCTCTTTTTCCTTTTCTAGAGAGTTTCTTCTTTCCCTCCATCTCCAGAAAACCAAAGGTATTTATGGTTTCATACTGTCTTCCCTCCATCTTCCTCACCTTTAATTCACCAGAAGTATAAGATCATTTTAATCTCATCCTTATAATTGAAAGAGAAGTTATTTCCAGAACTCTTTCTAATAGAAGCATTTGTGCAAATGAAGAAGTCCAATTAAACCTACAATCAAATGAAAAAGATAAAGAACAACAAAAAAAGAAAGAAAATAAAGTGAAAAAAAAGAGTGGAGATAGAGATGTCCTCAATTTATATTTGCATCACATGTACGAGTTTGTTCAAGTTCTGATTGAATAAAGTTCTAGATAGGAAAGAATTGGATTTGCTCACCTTCACATTATTATCCTGTTCTTTAGGTAATGTTGATTCAGTAATTTCATTTAAGTGGCTAGAATCAAATGCCTCATTACAACTATCAACTTCAAATTCAATGTTAACAGCTTCAGTTGGCATTCCAGTAGAACCTCCTTTGTTATATACCAAATCTCCTATCACAACATGATCAATTCCTATCATAGATAAAACTTTTGTCAGGAAGCAAATACACAGAAAAGTTCAAAACAAAATTACAGACCTTTTCTTCAGGGTGGTGCATGTAGATCATAATAATCGCCCTAATGCTTTATCTTCTATTTATTAGCAAGTTCAGTTGAACAAAGGAAACAAAAGCAAAAGAAGAAAGAAGAAGAGTAAGCAAGGCTAAAGTTACAACTGACAGAAGTCCCGAGTACTAGGGGGATGCAACTGGAGTAATGAAGAGAAAGAATATAGTTAACATCATAAATATTTTCCCCATGAGATTATGATGTTTTATGCAACATAACTGTGAATCCTGCACTCAGTTTATCATCTCCACGCCAACCACCCCATAAATACTCGAGTCGGGATCTTCTGCACTTGTCATGCACTTCCATTTAGTCTGTGACAGGTAATCCCATTATACATTTGTATAGATATGAGCTAAAAAAACTCTTTTTGAGTAGAAATGTGCATGTCATGGTTGATTTTGTTTTTACAATAAATTTCTTTAGGTGTCGGCACATCAACAAGTGAATATGCTTTCCAACCCCAGGTCAGAGCATCTTATGTGAACCATTTAAGTTATGGGCCCAAGATATGGCATTAAGACTGCCAATAAAATATCAAATTCACATATACAAATTGTAGCTTCAATGATATCAAAGAATTTAACATGACGGACCATGAACATCAAGTTATAATCCAAACAAGTTTGATAAGGCAGCATTACACTGTTGTACTTGATTAGGGATCTATTGTTAGTTTATTAATAGAATGAGAAAAAAATAAGATAAGAAAAAATGGGTAAATGCAATCATGACTATTTCTTTGTCCAAAAAAATATGCAATCATATCTGTCAACTTCTTTTCTATATAACCTATAATACCGTTCACCCTATCAACACTATTATTCTTCCATGTGATGGAAAAACTATCAAATCTGTTTTTCTGTTCCAGTCAAAAAAAAAATGTAACAAGTTCCAAAAAAATTATTCACCAAGGGGAAAAGACCATATACCGTGTTTTTGCAACCGCATACTTGCAGCATGGTTCCACAAGTAACTTTGGTAACTGTGCACGTACCTAAGCACATGATAGAAATTCAACTATTATCATAAATTTCAAACTTCACAAAACAAAATTTTGTTAAGGCACAATAACACATTAAGCCCTTCAGTAAGAAATATCTTTACTAAAATATTTTCCTCAGGACTAGCCATAGAGAACCATGCTGTATAATGCATTTAGGATAATTAACCTAGATGTATATTATATTCTCTCAATCAACATTAGCATAAAACAATCAATAAATGTCAGCCATATTCATCATCAAAATTGGCACCAATTTTTTTCTTTTTTGATTATTAATCAATAAACTAAAAGAGCATGCAAGAACAACTATCTTACATTTGAAAGTGCTAAATACAAAGCCTTCTTAGAAGGAAAGGCCAAAGCAAGCTTATAAAGAAACAGGTGAATGTAGTCTAGCTAGGTTATCAACCAGTGAGTAATTCATTCTCCACAATACAATTCTGCCATCCCACACCATCTCTAGCTAGGTTATCAACCAGTGAGTCCATTGACTCCACAGATTCACTTGAATGAGATTTTCACATTAGAAAACAGAGCTCCAGATTCTCTCAAGAAATATTTGAACCTCCATGGGGCTTCACTGCCTTCTCTTAGCCAACTTATTACTGCCTGATAAACTCCTTGCACCTTCACATGCTGAATATTAAGCATTTCCATTTCAATGCCTTTGTTCCTGCCATAAGAGGGCTTCCCAAATCTATCAGTCCTGAATAGGCAAACAATATCCCCCGTAAAACTTAAGTATTCCTATCCCCAAAAGTCTCGGGTTACCTATGGAGCAGCCATCATATGTAGATAAATTGCTCCTTGAACTGGGAGAACCCAAGACTGAGTACCTGTCTATAGGGGTGAGCAAAAAAACCAAAAAACCAAACCGACCAAAAAAACCAACTGAAATCGAACCGAAAAATCGGTTGACCGAACCGATCGGTTCGGTTTCGGTTAACCAAACTGACCAATATATATTTTTATATAATATTATATTTAATTTTTTTAAAAAATCAAATAAAAATGTTCGACAATCTGAGAGTGTTCAGACTACCAAACTGAGAGCTGAGACAGGTTCGCCAGTCTAGCACCCGTTGGCTGCCAGTCTGAGTCGTCTAACAGACTGACACCCGCTGGCCGTTGCGCCTTCTTTTTCTTTCCCTCTCTCTCTTGGACTCTCACTCTCTCATACTCCCTCACTCTCTCTCTCTCTCTCATCTCTCATCTCTCAGTCTCTCTGAACTCTCTCTCGCCTCTCAGTCTCTCTAAATTCTCTCTCTCTCGCCTCTCAATCTCTCTAAATTCTCTCTCTCTCTCGCCTCTCAGTCTCTCTGAATTCTCTCTCTCGCCTCTCAATCTCTCTTTGAACTCTCTCTCTCTCACCTCTCGGACTCTCTCTAGTTCTGACCTTTGGCGCTCCGCCCTCCGACTGATTCACCGACGGCCTCCAACACCGGCGATCTACGACACTGGAGGCTTGGCCTGTGGGTTAGAGGCTAATGCATCTCGGCGACACTGGCGATCCCAGTTATCATGTTTTTCCTTTTTTTTTAATTTTAAGGGCATAAAAAAACCGAAAAACCGAACCGCGATTAACCGGTTGTATCGGTTCAATTGAATGTAAAAACCAAACCTATCGGTTCGGTCTAGAAAATTACCCCACGGTTCGATAACCGAACCGTGAGCACCCCTATATGTCTAGTTCTGGATGGGCTTGTAAAATGGGTCAAACCTTTTATCATGGCATCTCTATAAAAACCTCTAAAATTATCTCTATTTTGAGACCGATAAGCCACTCTGAAATAAAGTCTATTGGCTCTTCATCCAATCAATCTTTCCGATTGAATATCGTAGCACCTCCCACGAAATCCATAAGATAGCAGCTCTCATACATCTCCGGATTCTCAACAAAGTTTTTATCTTTAGTCTAAAATATTTAATGTCATGTCTGCATGAATTTTGTAGTAAATTATTTAAACAAGAAGGGATCAGATAACATGAAACACTGATGAGAGAGGGGGGATTCCAAAGTAATAATTTCAATCATTATGCAACAAGAAAATCGATAATTGCAATGATATCCTATTTATTAAATGAAATAAATATACACAAGTTTCATCTCAAACAACTTAAGCTAGTAATTCCTCCTAAACAAGCCGAAAGCTTAAAAAAAAGGAGATTAAAATTTTGGTAGCCCTTGGGTTTTATCGGGCTTACAATTGTGTCAAAATGTCTTTAATTGAAATATATTTCACTATGACTATAAATTGGCAATTATATAACTTAAAGTTCTTACATCTTAACCCTCAAGGAACTTAGAAGAGTATTGATGCTTAAGACATCAATCAAAATATCACCAATTGCAAAAGCATATGCAGATATTCCTTTAAAAAAATATATTTATTTATCACCACAAACAGGAAGTCTGCTAGAAAAGAAATTAAGAAGAATCACATTATGTGTTTAGAGTAACTTCTTACATCATTCTCAGAGTCCTTGGTATAGCCTTCAGGGCTTGCAAGTAGTTGCCAGGGCACTTCTTCAAACATTGGAGCTGGATGAGAAAAGAAATGACATAAAATTAAGCACAAGATACAAGCAAGAAAATTGCATGCAAAACATTAGGCTCCGTTTGGTTTGTGGGAAGATTTGGATGGGATGGGAAAAGATGGGATGGGATGGGAAAGTGTAAAAACTTACCTTTCCATTGTTTGGTTTTATATATGGGAAAATAATAGGAAAACACTGTTACAAGGGAAAAGAGAGAAGAGGAAGATAGAGGGAGAGACAGAGAACTTCATGACTGAAGCTTCGTGTCCTCCGGCACCGATAGTCCCCCCTCCTCCGCCAGTGCTTAATTGACCACCGCGCAGTGGTTAATTGACCATTGCGCGGTGGTCCCCCCTTCTTCGCACTTTCTCTATAATAGAGGATGATCAGAGACGAATAGCCGCTGTGGGGTGCTCTGTTTCACCAAGAGGAAGACGAATAGTAGTTCGTCGGTGGAAAGCAAAGATGTAAAGGAAGGGGGAAGAAAGGGGAAGATGATGAATAGTGTTTCCTGTGTTCGTTGTCGAGAAGACAATGAACAGTGCTTTTTTTGGGCAAAAAACAAAACACGGAAGAAGAGAAGAAGAGAGGAGAGAGGGAGGGAGTGGTTGAGAGGGGGTGCCGCCGCCACTGCTCTGCTTCTGGGTTCGAACGGGGAAGGGGAAGTAACAGTGGTTTCTCAATTTTTCCACTGGGGTTGCACTGTTTTGGTGTGACCCCGGTTCCACGATTTTGGGATCTAGCATCCCATATTTTTCTCATCCCATCCCTCTATTTCCCTTAAAACAAACAAGAGAAACGGGAATATTTTTGGAATATTCCCTTTTTCTCACCCCCATCCCACAAACCAAACGGAGCCTTAGGTTTCCTCCATGGTTAAATCAAAGCCTAGGCAGTCACCTAGCACCTTTATATTACACCTTGCCTCTTAGGAAGGGCAGGCACTTTTTCATGTTATGTATGTTATGTTTATATCATATTGATCAAAAAAAATATTATGTTTATATCATTTATGCTCTACAAAATTCACAATATGCATATTGGTATGCTGCTCATTACTTGTTTGCTTGTTGAATGTATGCACTCCTTCCTTCCTTTATCCTTTCTTTGTTATTAATAAAATATATCCTGGTTAACAAGATGAGGAGAATCCCTTCATCCTTTCTTTGTTATTAATAAAATATATCATGGTTAACAATCAAAAAATACTTATTTGCTTGGATTCTTTTTGTATTATTAACTTGTTTGAATTCAATGTGTTTTTATTTGTTTGGATTCTTGTTACATGAAAACCCATGAATAAACCCATGACAATAAGCCCTGCTACTTTGCTGAATAGAATTGATTATATTGAATATAGAATATTGAAATTTATGATTAAAAGTAATATTAACTCGTGTAATTAGTGATGTAATGTCTTTATGTCGTAATTGTTGGCTATTTTAGTACCTTTCAATACATAATAATCAGAAAATGAAAACCAAGTGTCAACATGGATCATACCCAATCAATTATAGATCCTATTTGTCAAAACAAAATACAAAAAAAAAAAGCCTAACCTAAGCACTTAGGCAACAAGGAGTTCTTCCAGACCGAAAAGGAGTTCCTTTGGACCCAAAACATCAATTTTGGCCTTTTCCCTGTATATCCATGAAAATTAAGTAGGTCCCACCAAAGAGCTTGTTAGACCCAAAAGGAGCCAGAAAGTTAGCCCAAGCCTAACTACCTGACCTTTTGCCTTCACATGAAATTTCAAAAATTATGGTAGGGCAATTTAATTCACATGGCAAGGGTCATCCATTAGGGTCAGCTTTGGCTAAGAAAACCTCACTATGTTGAAAACATGAGAAGGGAGGTCCAAACCACTGAAATAGGTGTGTCAAAGGAGGGAAGAACGCCTAAATTTTATCCTCCACCCTTAAAAAGGAATGTTCAATTTTGAAATTGTAAGACAGTAGAATTATGTAAGTACATTAATCCCCCCCTCTCTCTCTAGCTTACAGAAATAGAGAAAAAGGAAAGATAAAAACAGGTAAATTTAATAAACTTGCCACTTGCCAAAGCCATATATAGAGATTTGAAAAGGAAAAGGCAATCTCAATGTCAAATAAAAGACAATCTGCTCTCTTGGAACAATTCCTTGGTGGGCCAATGACCACTACCTTAATGCATATGGATCAAAGGGTACTAATTTGTTTATTCTATGAATCAGTTAGGAATTTCTAATGCAAAGCAAAGAGAAACCCCTAAGGCTGTGCTTGGGTTGTGAACTAAAAGGATGTGTGGGATAGAAATAAAACCCAGTGGACTACCTTCTACATTTTGCAATTTGGTTCCAAAATAGAATCTTGCCAAACCACAAGAAGCTCAAAATATTATAGTATAGGAATGTTTATTACTAATTTATGAATTACATTGTTCTAACTAGAAAGATCAAAAGATCATAAAATATTGTTCCTCAGAGGTCTAAAACTTTATCAATGATCTTCTTCAAAAAGTGAACAAAGGAATTAAGCAGAAGGATATAATGGGAATAATAACTAAAAGAAATGCACACAGGAGCACCTTATGAGATACTTACTATAGCCCTTTCAGCAACTAGATGACGAGGTAATTGCCTAAGAGTTCCATCAATATCACCACTTTCCTTATAATATTCACGTGCCTTCCAGATTGCTTCACGCTGTTTATCAAGAAGGTTACTGAAAACAAGAATTTAATTGTTCTTATTAAGCATCAACCTCTAATGCACCTAACCATTTTAATGTAAGGTGCCAAATCTTCCCTTTCAAAAAGGATATCCCCTTCTCTTGGATCCAAAATCATGCCTACAGCAGTTTTCCACTCTCCTCGAAGTAATGTTGCTCCAATGAGGTGAGTTGGCACTGAACCACTTCCAAAACGCTGAAAGACATTGCAACATCAATTCAACAAGGTAACTTCAAGTCACATGAGAAACTAGGGAACTTCATAGATTCATTATCACCTCAACAGGGAAAAAAGCTGCAAAGAACATGGTGTAAAAGAAGATATAATCATAAAGGGAGGACCAGAGGCACCATCCTCCTCTCCTGTGCCTTAATATGGTCCACGCTAAAATGGAACGGAACCATCATTCTTAAGCTAGGATCTTCTCAGTCATAGACCAACTTGAGAAATGATCAGATCAGCTTAAGAAACCAAAGTTTCAACCTTTAGTTGTGGATAATCACAATTGAAGCTGATATTACCAATTGAAGTTATAGTTTCAGATGCATCTTAGGAGCATCCCACCTCATGTGTTGATGAGTCTGCCACATACATGCCACAAGGAGAAATTCTCCTTCCAGTGCTTACAAGCAGAGATAGTTAAGTGATAAAAAATAACCAAATAAAAAATTACCTGCAAACCATAGTAGTTGATAAACCCCTTTTTTCCCAAAGCATCTACTGCTGCTTTAATGGTATCTTCAGAATCTGCAACAACTCCTCTGAGAAGAGATGTAAGTGAGTTCATACCATACAGATATACAACCTAAAAAAGAAATCATAATGACTGTTTTGAGTAAGTGATGCTCAAAATCAAAATTAAATTAACATGTGAGGAAGCAACTTACCTCAATGTGATTGTGAAACGATTTCCAAGAAGCCGCCCAAGAACAAGTTCTTCATCAACATGACTGGAATAATAATACACTTACAATTATGCTGACATCACAGAATAATTTGGCAGAACACAAAAACAATAATATTGTACATATAAAGCTTACCAAAAGTCTCCAACTTTGATACCAATCAGCCTGTCGTTGAGAGCAGCCAACCTTTTCGCATGTTGCTTGAAAATAGTTACCTGAAAAGAAGGAAAATAAGCATCTAAGAGGGTATGGTCCTCCAAAAGGTCATCATCACAGCATAAAAGAAGAACTCTTTTGATGCATATGCTATCTCCATTAACAAAAACTCATTCAGTCAATAAACCATGTCCTTAACAAGAACTCTTTTCCAATGTACATTGGTTCTGATCATAGTTGTCAAGGCAACGCCTAGGCAACAAGGCACCCTTGGAGGCTCGCCTGGCCCAGCCGCCTAGCAGTTTTGTGCACTGGGTTATAAAATACTTTTATATTTTTTATTTTTTGACATTATAATTATAAAATAGACATTATTAAACTAGAATATTCATTTTATGTGTTTCTATACTAATTTCTTTTTATTATTTTCTTATTTTCTTAGGGTTCAATCAATGCAACATTGCTAACTGCTGTATTGAACCCATGGTTCACAGTATTGATACACCTCTGTGTATTGGCAGAGGTGCATTGGTACTTATAACGATACTCCCCCTATTTTTTTTCTTTGGTTTTCAATTTCATTTTTAAATATATATATTATTTAAAAAAATGGGTCCCCCAAAAACAGCTGTAAACAGGTATCAGGACCCCAAAAATACAATACAATACAATACACCCGATATGGGGCGTACCATATCGAAATTTTGATCCTTGATTGAACCCTCAAAAATTTCAAAACCTGAACCTAGAAGCAAAGGAAGAACTTAAAATTTTGTCTAATCAACACATTTTCTTCTTCCACCATTTCTTTTCTTCTTTCCTATAACAAAAGTAGGGGTTCATCCCCTACATTTTTTTAATTTTCTTTACTTTGTTCTTTTTCCTCTAATAAAATGTTGCTTTTCTAGACTTAAACATGAAACTTATACTTTTCTTATGAAAATTATGAATGATTATTAAGGAAAGATAGTTATGGAACCTAGGGAACTACCCTAGGATATATGGTTTTACTTAAAAAAAAAAATCATCGCCCCTAGGCGCCCCCTGTCGCCTATCCTCACCTTGGCGCCTTGAAAACTATGGTTCTGATCTATACAGTTCCCTTACTTGACAATAATTAATACGTATCCTATACCTTACCCATTCTAATAATAAATAAATATCAATTCTTGAATCGTTCTTCAAGGCATTATGTTAGTCATGAACCTTAGTACCAAGCCAATGGCCCAGTGGTATTAGCAACATAGTTATTTGAAATACCCTTTTTTAAGGCAAGAAGGGAAAGACATTAGATTGCAGGCGAGAAGGAAATGGGGAACAGGACAACTAGAAAGGTGCATCAATAAGGGTAATAGAAGGAAAATGGCTGCTGAGTACATCTCTTTGGATTTGTAATTTCAAAAGGGAAACACAAGTACCCACATGGACAAAGCTCAAAGCAGGTTGACAAGTTTCCCAGTCAGGGTATCCAGCAAAGATCAAAAAGTCGAGTTAGGTGCAGTGGTTTAAAAGGCACACCTAGGCGCACAGGCGAGGTGCATTTTAGGGTATGCACCTCGCCTAGGTCCTAGGCGCAGCCCTTTCAAAAGGCGCACGCCTGGTGCGCCTAGGCGTGCGACTGATGCGCCTTTTGAAAGTTTGACACTTTTTTGCTTTTTTTGAACATAGCAGCTGGGCCGGGGGCTCTGCCCCCAAACCCCCGTGCCACACCCCTCAAGGAAAGCCCAAACAAGTCCATGTTAGGTGTTAAAGTCTTAGTTCTCACCAGTGTTTTAAAAGCACAAGGCACAAAAAAGGCGCAGGGGTCAATTTGCGCCTAAGGTGCAAGGCACAAAGCGAGGCGCACGCCTTTTTGAATCAAGGCGCAAAAATACAAAAATAAAAAAAATATCAGAAAATTCAAAAAAAATGCCAAAAAATTCAAAAAAATAAAAAAATATAAACATAATATTAATAAAAAATATAAACTTAAATTTTAAAATATTTTTTTAAAAAACCTATTATCTAAAATTAAAATACATAAACATAAGATGTAAAGCATATTCAAATGAGAATTTAAAAATAAAATCAAACATAAAAAACATTTTCAAGCATGTAAAACCTCTAATCTCTTTGTTCACTCAATTGCATTACTTCAAGTAGCTAATGTAATGTAAAACATATTACATTCCAGATTCTACGAGCCACCTTTATGCCATGCCCCTCGAGGCAAGCCCAAACAAGTCCATGTTAGGTCTTAAACTCTTAGTTTTCACACAAAAAATAATGATTTTATAGTTTTAATTGCTTTTTAAGAAGACATTTTATTAGGATGAATGAATGAACAACATTACCAAATTGGGGGATCTTGGAGCTTCGGTGAGCGGTTCAAAAAAAGCAAAAAAGCATCAAATTTTCAAAAGGCGCACACCTGGGCTGAGGCACAAGGCGCATCAGGCATGCGCCTTTTTTAAAGGGTTGTGCCTAGGACCTAGGCGAGGTGCATACCCTGAAATGTAACTCGCCTATGCGCCTAGGCACACCTCAGGCGCACCTTTTAAATCACTAGTTCTCTAATTGCTTTTTAACAAAATATTTTATTAGGATGAATGAATGAACAACATTAGCAATTTTTTTTTAATTTTCTGACAATTGTTTTTTTTTTTTATTTTTTAGCATTTTTTTGTAGTTTTGTGCCTTGCTTCAAAAAGGCGTGTGCCTCACCTTGCGCCTCAAGCACAAACTGACCTCTACGCCTTTCTTTGCACCTTGCACTTTTAAAACACTGGTTAGGTGAAAAGGGAATGGGATTCAAATTCAAAAGCGTGAAAAGATGAGAAGGACAAATGACAAGCTCCAGCTAGCCTGATAAAGCCAATAGCATAGGTGCTCTTGCAGGAGTTACCAAGTTTGTGGGGGAAAGTAGGTGGTAAATGGCAAAGGGAGGAAAGAAGGTCAGCAGTTTAACTAGATACTAATTGTTGGAGTAAGGAGCACGGAAGGAGATAGAAATTATCTAATCACGGGGCAGAGAAAACATAACGTAGGAAATGGAATTTAAAAAAAAAATCACACAATAACGGCTGCCTAGTGCTTTGTTCTTTCCTAGAAGAGATAATTATTAAACTAGTTCTTTAGGCAGTTACCACTTGTAGGGGACTTTAGTGGTTGCGTGTTCAATTCTTAATCCATGTCAACTGTGCAAGAAAAAATTATAGGGTTATTAGATATCTTTGTTAAGCTATTTAATTAGTAAGCATGTGTACAATGTACAGATAAACTAATAATATAAAATATCAATACTGTTTCTTTTTTGCTGCATATAATCCATTATTGGTGAAATAAAGTAACAAACATTGAATAAGTGGCATTCATCAAAAAAAAAAACATTGAATAACTGGCACACTAGGAAAAAGGTCTGAAACTGTTTTCAGATATCAAGAATAAAGACTTTCAGGGACTGAGGTGTCATTGCTGCCTCATCATCTAGAAGACAAAAATCTGCTGAGAAGTGGTCACCCCCAATAGGTGGCTGGAAGAAACTGAATTTTGATGGGAGTTGTTTGGGTAATCTGGGCCCCTCAGGCATAGGGGGTCATTAGGGATGATGAAGGAAACATCATAGCTTTATACTAGGGACCTGCTGAACAAGGTGATGTGGCAAGATCAGAACTATTGGCTGCAGTATATGGGGTCGAGAAGGCAAAAGAGTTGGGTATTGATAGACTGATCATTGAGGGAGACTCAGAAACTGTTGTGAAATGGTTGAAGAAGGGGGGGGGGGGTCATGCATTTGAGGAATGAATTCAGGTAATTTAAATGGCTATCAAAGGACATGACAATCCAAGTTAAATAGGTGAGGAGAACTGCCAACAGCTTAGCAGATGGTCTAGCAAAGCAAGGGGTACAAAGTACTCATCTGTATTGGGCTCAATTGTAATTCTTGGGTTGGATCATCTTTTCTAAAGCTGTGTTCATTTTTTTCACAACCTCTAGTTGTAACCATGTTTTCTTCTTATTAATGAATCATTTCTGTGTTGCAGATCAAAAAAATAGAAATAAACATTCAATTAAAAATAAGAAATAGAAAGTCTAATTTATAAATGCTCAAATAAATTAGCAATAACAAAAATGAATATAGTAGAATAAAGGTTCTGAATTGGTTAGCTACATCTATTCAATAGAAGAGATACATTATTTTGATGACATATAGAGGAATGATGCAGTCAATTCAGAAAATTGATCATGTGAAAGTGTACAAGGGCAGCAATTCTACATAGTTTTTGGTACAAGAGAGACAATTGAATCTTCAATGATTGCAGATGACATAGAAATACAATTGATCTAATTACAATCAGAGTAGCTCGTTATAGGCCTTGATAAAGATTCAAAGGTGTCTCTATAGAGACTATTCTAGATACTGGAAAGAAGTGGCTGATTTAGCTAAACAATGACCAGCAGCGATTCAAGAGCAGACTGCACCAGATACTGGGATGATCAAGCTTAACTTCAACAGTGGTTTTCTAGGTATGGTAACCCTAAGTCTTCGGGTGGAAGGAGTGCTCAGAGATCACACTGGCACCATTTTGTTGGATAAGGGAATTTTCCTGGCCCCACACTGAGGGCCGATTGGTTATGGAGATTCTCCTCAGGCTAAAAGATTGGCTGTTGTACATGGACTGTAGTTGGCAAATCAATGTTCTACAAAGAAATTTTGATGGAAAGGGACTCTCATTTCATTATAGGATGGCTAAGTAATGAAGCAGAATCCACGTAGACACATATTAAGCAAAATCACAAAGCAAGCAATAGGGATAAGGAAAACGTACAGGTAGACTCCAAGATCAGTTAACAATATTACTGATAGGTTGGCAAATTGAGGGGTAAAAAGAAGCCAAATGTATTGCAGCCTGATCCCCCAGAATAGAAATCTGTAATCTTATGTAAAATTATGTTTAAGGTGGCTAGCCAAAGATAGCTACCTATGTGAGTGCTTAGCACTTACTGAATACTGATAAAAAATAAATAAATAAATAAACAACTCATTCAAATTGCAAGGGACAGGATGATAGCTGTAGTCAATGTATTGGAGGATGGGTTGCTAACCTAGTTTATGCATTGTTTTATATCTATCATAAAATTATTTTTTTTATCAATATCTATCATAAAATTATGACCAGAATAAGGGGGAGGATTTGCATTACTTTGCACTGTTACAATTAATGCATGTTGTATGATGTTGTTAATGATCAAAAAGATTATAACTAAGGCCCATAATGAACAAAAGATGAGCAATAGATTTACCCTCTGAGTTGAAACAGAACGTTTATCCTTTGTACCCGCAAATCCAAAAGATCTTTGCTGCCAAAAACACAACTATAGCCAATTAACTGAGCAGACAGTCTGAAAGTATGATGACCATATCTATTCAGAAGAGAATGTAACCTAAAAAGATTTAACAAATTGAGAAATAGTGGAACACATGGTTAGAAGGGCCATTACCCAATGTTGGTCCAAGCTATCCGGGGTCTTGGGAGGAGTGGACTGGATACAGGCCTAACCTTTGGCATCTTTTTTGCACAAGGTGGCTGCTTTCAGACTCAAACTTGTGTTCTCACACTTGTTTACCATTGCACCAGGCAATGGCTCCTATCAGAAGTTTTCATCTTTTATATATATGTAAGCTTCCAGTAATTATATTTACATGAGAAAATCAACAAATGTCCAAAAAATATGTGGTGCAAGAAAACTAAAATAGCTCTGTTATATTTACTTCCCCCTTTACTCCTATATACCAGTAAATGGCAAGAAATAACAAGATGATGAAATGCTTAGTAACCAGAGAAAAAAATCTTAAAGCAAAAAATAGTAAATGCACCTGGATTCCAAGCATCTTTCCTATGAGTCCCAATGCCTCTTGCGTGTCCTTATTCTCCTTATAAAGATGGAACCTGTAAGAGTGCAAATATGGTGCATTTTCAAGAACAGAGCAAATAAACCTGCCATGCCCTAAATAATGAACAAAATAGTAATCTAAAAAATGAGAACTCAACCATGACAAAATAGAAGTCATAATTCATTTCAGATTGCCTACTATACCAATTACCGAGTGCTCACTTATTGACCTCCCTCCAATAATATATATATATATAGGATATGCATACATATATACCACATAACAATTTCCAGGAAAAACAGAAATAAAAAAAAGTGCATCCAAGGTTCAAAAAATTGTTACGTATCAACCCGTCTCGGCTGATACGTATCGTATCGGGCCCTTCCCGATATGCCCCTACAGGGGTTGTATCAGGTCAGGGCCTGGTTCAGAGGGTATCCGGGACTTAAACCGGCCCCTCTGAACCAAAATCAAAAAAAAACTAAAAGCTTAAAAAAAAGGGTCGATACCCTCTTGTGCAAAAAAATAATTAAAAGCTTAAACCGGCCCCTCTGAACCTTGGGTGCATCTTCATTCAATTTTAGCAGTTTTTCATTATAACAGAACGGGACTGTACAGACATTTCCTGATTGATGATTTCTTTTTTTTATCAATAAATGAATCAACATCATTCATTACGAATAAAATTAGTACAACTGAAGAGAAAGAAGGGGGGAGGAATAAACTCTCTTAGCCCCTCCTCAATTGAAAATATTACAACACAGCCCAAAATAAGCTATTCCTTCTCACCCCTTGTTTAACAAATGTATCAGCAAAGCCATTTGCATCTCTTCTGACCCAATTACAAGCCACCTCTACCCCTTGAAGCAATTTAATAATTTTCCTCTTCTCATATATATAGCACCACCATCCATCCCCCTCTTCTTTTTGGAGCCAGCTTATTACAAGCTCCAGATCACCTTCAATTAACAATGTCCTAAGGTTCAGCTCCTTAGCCTTTTGAGTCCCTTCCAAAACCGCCATAATTTCATCCCTTAGAGAGTCCCCAACTCCAATTGGACCCAAGTAGAAAGTAATGACAATTCCCTCCTAGGTTGCACTATAACGACACTGATATTACATAAGAAATCATCAGTGTAGTTAAAATGCCACCTAGACATCAAATAGGTGATCATCTAGGTGTTTTGGATGTCTATTGCCAACTAGGCAGGTAGTATAGACATAAGCATCCTGGTAACCATGAGAACCCAGGAATTTGAGGGACTTTTGGAAACAGAAACTCTTCAGACTTCAGGTGAGACCCTAGCAATTTAGACTGGTCCAACTGGAAATTGTAACCCCACTAGTGTTGAACTACTTGTTAGACAGTTTTGTATGCCCTTAGCTTCAATCCGATTTGATGTACTTTTGTTATTTAGTGGAAATAAATAAAGTGCATGTTTGATTCATGTTGTTTAGTTTAATTGTGTAAGACCCTAAAACTGGACACTTATAGAGACTCGTGTTAGTTTTAAATGTTCACAACCATTGGATAAGTCTGGGGAGATTTATCCTGTCAAGGCTGATACTGGTGTGCCACCAAGTGTTGGGATGGCCTG